TTCAGCATCTGATACCTTATTTCTTTATTTAGTGTAAGATCTCAATCAAGCTCCCAGACACACAGAGCAAAGAAAGTGAAGCTTGCCAGCCTTGCAGAGGATTGCCTGAAGCCTCTGAAAGCAAACAGGCCTCAGTTTCTGGAGTGCTACGAGTCCTGTCCTGACACAGCACTGAAGACAGCAGAGGGTAACTCAACTTCACACTACCTCATCCCCCTTAATTTTCAGGGGATGCAGCCTTGTGTTTTTTCTATCTAAACCTAAACCTGTAACATGACTCTGGGAATCCCAATACCAAACCTACAAACTACGTTCAATACCAAGGTACCAATTCATCTGACACTACACAACTGCCTTGAACCAAACCAGAGCACTGAAGCCAGCTCATCCTCAGAAAACACCACAACCTACAAAGGACATTCTGGGAAGCTACAGATTAATCACAAATCAAATTTGCCCATGAAAAGAAGCCCATGTTTTTCAACAGGTAAAGCATGTCCCTGCAGCATTCCTGCCAGCACCTTCCAGTTATTCCCCAATCCTCATTTTAGGGAGAAAGAGACCAACATGATCACACCGATAAAAACACCGTGAAGCTGGTCATCTGACCACACCATACTGAAAAAAACAATTACATGCAGTATGAACCAGCCCAGGGTCTCCATCTTTAAGACCTTTGGGTGACGACTGGAAAGGAAAGCTTGATCTTCAACCCTGTCCTCACTCCAGCAGGAAACACTGAGAGAGTGATCTTTGATAGAAGCTGTGTCTGGGCTGGCCCACAAACTAATTTAGAGCACATATAAACCTCCAGAAGACAGTTTAAGAAGAGCCTCTGATGCAGACAGAAATGGCAATTATTAATTTTCTAAATAGAAATCTGACTACTTAAGCCTTATTTAAAAGCATGCCTGTCTCTGTAATTACACAGCCTTAATTTGTTTTCTTTACTACACAATAAATAAGGTGTGCACAATTACCCTCTGCAAATACAAGGCTGTGCCTCCTGACTGGCTGGTTGAGTATGCAGCCGCCCAGGAAAACACTGAGAGGGAATCACAACCTCTCAAGTACCTGCTCCCAGGAAAGGGTGACTCAGGCACTGCAAATATTAACTTGTCTGGCTGCAGGCACAGCCTGCTGGGACCCTGCTCTCCTACATGCACAGCTCTACTATCCCACAGCCAGTGGGAAGCCTGTCCTCCCCTGTGCACCAATTCCTGGTGCACTGTGAAACTCAGTTCTGCTGTGGATTTCCCAGTGCCTAATGAGGAACATGGTAATGCTGAATTCTTCCCCACAAGGCACTACAACTTCTCTTTATTTTGTCTAGTTTCATGATATGTGTAGGAAGTTGATAACCTCCCAACTCGTAACCCTCTACAAGTTCAAATAAATTGGCCAAAGGTTTCCAGTGTCATTAGGAGGACAGAGAGAGTGAGAGCATGCAAGGCTCTTTCCTCACTAAGCTGTGCTAAACGCAGCAACACAGTAAATATGTATTCAGATGGTTTATATGTCTCAAATTTAGGAACCACCCCAGAGTTTTCTTGTACAGCCTCAAGCCAAAGACTGAGGTTTTCTGTCAACACAAACATTTCTTCTGTTCAGTTGCATCACCTGCTAACACTAACATCCAGAAACCTTGGCTACAGAGGCTCAGTCTTCCACAGCCAAGCCCTGTCGGTCCTCACATCCAAAACTGTCCACAAAATTGTCCAGGACCATCCTTGCAATGGCCAAAGGGCTGTAAAACATCCAGAGACATTGGACCAGGAACCTACAAATGCAATTTCTCTCAATGAGATGATCTCAGGTAAGGGTACATGATACTGGAAGATATCCAGTTTAGATCACACACACATCCACCTCTCTTTAGCACCCAGCCAGTATTTGTCCTAGGAGGACTGAACTGTCTCAGCCCAACCACCAACAGAAGAGGTAGATCCATGTTGCAAAATCCACTGTTATATTTTGGATTGTCTCTGGAGCAGTGATAGGCTTCATATCACCAATGACCAGACAGGCTATGGAGACCTAACTGACCTCATTCAAGGAGAAGGAAGAGGAAACCAAAGCTATTTCTAGATTCAACCTCTGGCTGACAGTCACCCACCTCTCCTCCACTGATTACATCAGCCTCAAGCCCCTTGCACTTAATACAGCTAATTTCAAACCTTAAAAGGACAGACATGACCCTGCCAGACTGCACTTTGGAGCACTCTGAGGTTTACCACTTGAGCAGCTGAATGCTTAAAATCTCCTTCATGGGTTTCCCACCTTTCCTCCCTGACTCTGTGATGGGGAAGGGGGGAAAAACCAAGCCAAGCTTCACCCAAACCCTTACAAACCTGAGCTCTTGCAATTAGAGCTGGGATAAGTGATCTGCTTGTGATTGCACAGCTGGGGTCTGAAGACAAGCGCGTGCACAGAGGAAGGGCCAGAAATAGATGTTACTGGGAGAAGGCAGAGCTATCTGGCCCATCTGAGAGGAGGAAACCTTGATGAAAGGCACTGGGAAAAAAAACTCAGTTCAGCAGGAAGTTTTGATTTAACCCAGGATGGGAAGGGAGGCGTGTGTGGGGTGGAAATAAGCTTTTGAGACCTCAGAATTTGTATACGAGCTTCAAGTGAAAACAAAGTGCTCAAACCCAGCTTGTAACACCTTGCAAAGGTCCAGCCTAGGGCCCCCACCACCCTGTGCCAACCTTCCCTGGCAGTGAAGCCACTCCAACATTTATTAGACACATTTGTCACTTAATTGACTCAGCTCCACCAGCAGCCATCCAAACAGCCATCAAAGGAGAGAGAAAACCAGGGTGGCAGTGAAAATGTGTAGCAGTAACTCAGCAAGGCTAAAGCACCATCCCATGGTCCCAGCTCTGCACACAACCCCACCACGAGAGGATTGGGACAGTATCCTTCACTCCCATCCACTACTGTACCTGGCTACAGCAGAGTGACATTTCCATTAATCCTTTTATCCCTGGCTCCTACGTGCAGAGGCTGCAGAAAATGTCAGGCCTTTGAGCTGAGCTCCAGGGAGACAGAGCAGCCAAGGAGACACCTTGATGTGCTGGCAGAGTGCTGAGGCCATGGAGGGGATCCCAGGTGGCACCAGGCACCTGCCAGGCTCTGCAGAGCCTCGGGAGCCACCCTGGCTGCAAGGGAGCATCCTGGGCTGAGAGCCTTTGGGAAGCAGCAGGGAGTTACCAGCCTTGCAAGCACCAGGTCTCCATCCTCGACTGCCCAGCATCCCCCACGGGAACATCCACACTGCCAAGATCCAGGAACAGCATCAAAACCCACTGGCAAACACCAAGCAAATAATATACTTACTTGCCTCAAGCTCCAAAAGGCAAGGAAAGAAAGATGTTAAGAACATGATCAATCTTACAGGGCCCAAGCAGTAAACAAACACATATTTCATCACCACGTACCAATCCTAACTCTTGACAGAAGATGGATGTGGGGTTTTTTCCACTCACAAAAGTAATACCAAAAGACAAAAACAAACACTTTGGGGAAAAGCAGCAACAATTGCCTGTGTACACATTAATGGCACATTTCAGCCTCAAAGCAAGCATACATGGCCTTCTAAACTCCTATGACATCCAAACTAATTTCATCAGGAATCAAATGTTATTAATTTTATCTGCTAGATAAACACATAAACAGCAATTGCACAATTGACAAACAACCCTCAAAAAAAAAAAATCAATTGAGAGTGGTTCAGAGAGAAGGCTTCCGAGGAACAACTAGAAAAAACACAAAATAAATGCTACAAATCAAAATAACAAAGAGCAGAAATCAGGAGTATCCCAGTGGTCAGCATAACGAGGGTTTATTATGAAAATATGCAATTCTTTAAGCTCAAAAAGGCTCAGTTCATGTGCACAATGCCCTCAACTATTCATGCCCTTTGGTACTGCAGATCTTCTATTTAGCAAGTACTTTACTGTCACTTAGCAACTGTAAATGGTTTTCCAAAAAGGAAGCTTTTGGGGTTTTTCAGTTCACATCATCTCTGAGCAGACATCAAAAGACAAATCTATCCTGCTCTGCAGGTCGCATCCATCTCCTTGCCCCAGGAACAAGTCTGTATCGATGGCCAAGTGCACCCACACACTCAAATGGATGCACTTTTTTCACTGAAGAAGCCACTAGCAATGCTTTCAAAAAGCAGGGATAAACACAACCTCCCATTCAGCCCATCAGCTCGTGCCCGAGGCCAGGGCCTCTCACCAAACCCTTTTCACCTTTCATATCTACAGTGGAGCAGAGAGGGCTTTGATCTTGGACACTCGGACAAAATATTTCAAGCACCTTGCACAGTGGCCTGAAATTCAGGCTTTGCTTTATCGCCTTGGGAAAAGTAAATACACATCTAGAAAAGAAATCAGTGCCCTTGGCCTCAAGGATGTGGAAATTCCCTGTGAACACCACTCTATAGCTAACAATACCCAGCAGCTGGACACTTGTGTGATGTCCCACGATAACAGGGCTCCAACCTCTCCGGCACAAAACATCCCTACCCCACATCCCCTGCAGTTTAAGAAGTCAATAATTAGCAGCAGAGCTGGCAGCTGCATACCCCAGGATTTGTGTCAGAAAAGCAGCCTTTGGTTAAAAACTAATGAGCGGGGCAGGCTCTGGCTGTGTGCTGGGGCAGCTGCCCCCAAACTCTGCAGAAAGGGAAATGTGCAGCAGCCACCAGGCTGGTAATGATGCAGTGCTTGTTAGAGCAACCATCAAAGCCAGGGCAGTTATTAGGAACCCAAACCCCTCAGCTTCCCAGCAGGAGCTCTCCCCATCCTGCACTTCAGCCCATTCCACTTCCCTGTGCATTTTGCTTTTCCATCTCCTGCCCTTTCCTACCTCTGCCTCTCTTTCCCCATCAGCATTCCCCTCCGCTCTCCTTGCTGACCCCAAAGGCACCTTGGGAATCACATTTCCATAGGGACAAGAGGCAAAAAGGGACAGGAGCCCTTGGCACTTACATGTAGTGCAGGTGGGGGTTCTTGGCAAAGGCTCGTGGCTGGATGTTTCGTAGTCCTGAGTTCCTGATTGTCCTGCAGAGAGATGCAGAAGGGCAGCAGTGGAGTCAAGGCAGACAATTGTTCTAAAGCCCTGCTTAGCACACGAGGTGTGCTGGAAACCTACAACTTCTTCCCAGGCCATTCCCAGGAGAAACATCTGTCCCTGGGCAGCCTTGATGAGCTACAAGCAAAAAGGAATTCAGGTTTTTCATCTCCATCTGATGTGGTAACAGCACTGGCTCAGCACAGAGCTGCTGCTGGACGAGGCTCTGCTCCCACATCCATCAAGGCTTGCTGGGGTGGCACAGGCCATCTCCTGCTCCCCTGCTCTCCCTCCATCTCCACAAGCACCACAGCAAACCTAACCACAGCAAAGTCATCTCCCATCTTCGTACCTAAGAGGAAACCCTGCTGCTTGCAGCTCTGATAAGGAAGGTTATTTTCCATAGGGAATTCTGGATCTTGAAGGAAGAAGAATCCTTTTCACAGCCTGCTTTGGAAAAGGTCTGTCAGTACTATGACCAGGATTTGTCACTACTCTCACACACATGGTGTGACTATTGGGGATGGTCCTGTTGGGGACCAGAAGTTGAACTTGGTGATCTTTGTAGGTCCCTTCCAGCTCAGCATGTTCTGTGATTCTGTAAATATCTGCTGTCTCTGCTGCTTTGTTAGGTGAGGAGAGAACAGCCAGCCTGCTTTGTGTGTTAAAAGCACAGCTTACTGGAATTTGGTTACTGAGTGCTCAGCCCCATACAGCTCCTCCAGCCCACATGGGAGCTGTCCTTAATGTAAAGCTCCCAGTGAAACACATTATTAGAGTCTCTGATTAGCTCTGAGCAATGTTCTGCATCTCCACATGCAGCATCCAAGGCACTCATAGATCCAGAGGATGTAGGAGGGGGAATTAAGAGACTGAGTGGCATCCTTGCCTGGCCAGGCTTCCCAAGCATATGCAAAGTCTCTTTAGCTCCATGGACCTCAGTTTCCCCTCCATGACGCACAAAACTGACCTCTGTCCATGCTCGGAGAGCTGTGCAGGGAGATGCAATTCCCTTATTGCACAGCACCACCATGATGGTAACTGCACTAAATGAGGACCAACAGCCCAGCAAAGAGGGATTGGTGGAGACAGCTGGAATTTTACATTGTGGGGCTGGAATGAGTCAGAGCAGCACACAAGCCCAGAACCAGAACAGCAGGGGAGAGGAGAGGTCAGGGCTGATGTGTGTTGACAGAGCTGTCAGGAGCTAGCAATCCTCCTCCTCACAGACCCAGCCAAGACCAAAAAAGCATTTCATCTCCATTTTGTGGACTCTCATAGCAAAACATGGTAGATCCAGCAGCTTAAACTGGCAGCATGGAGGCTGCAGAGGGAAGGGAGCCATGGCTCTGCTGGAAGGAAGGGGCTGCCCAGGCCCATTCCCCTCCCCAATGCACAGGACATACTCACAGCCTCTGGAGTCCCGTGTACAGCTCCATGTCAACGGCGTTCAGTGTCTGCAAGTTCTTCCAGTTCTCTATGTGTCTGTGGAGAAGAAGGAAAGGCTCAGCTGTGGCACAACCAGATGGCTGCTGAGCCCATGCCAGGGACAGCACACAGAGGGAGGATGCCATACCCTACCACCCAGCCCCATTCTGTTTTCCCAGCATTTTGGAAAAGTCAAATAACATGGGTTTACCTACAGTTTCAAGCATGGAATGTGCAACCAAGCCATTGAATATCCTTGCCCAAGTCATTGTCCCTCACTGCACACATCAGTGAACAAAGACGATTGAAATGGTTCATGTGAAAAGAATGAAAGCAAATAAAACCTCTCAACAAAAACTTAGGGCCTAAATGAAAAAAAGTAATATATTTATCCAGTCTCTAACTGGGGTGGATAAACAGGGCCCTCGTCTTTGCTGGCTGGAAGCACTGCTGGCAGGAGAGCACCAAGCTTCGTTTGGAAACATTGCCTTTATTACAAATTCCTCAGTCGCCTGGGGCAGTCTGGCAGGTTATGTTATAGAGAACAAAAACAGAAATAGATCTGTCACTGCAGGAGCGTTTTCAGGAAATATTAGAGGCGGGGGAAGGTGACAGATCAGCAGCCCCAGAGAGCAGGGTCCCCTGTTATCAGCAGCACAGGAGTGATGCTGGCAGCAGTGTGGCTGCCTGGCTGTGGCCACAGGCCTCTGCAATGCTGTGTGGTGTGAAAGGAGTTCAGTCCTCATGTCTCAAGCAGTCTTTGGCCAGTTCTGGCTTTCTCACTGATTAAATTCAGACACCCTCCCACCACAAACACAAACATTTTCAAGCGGGTCTTTTCTGAGAAGCAGGTGGAGGTAGTCCTTTCTAAAAGTCAACTGAGAGGGGGAAAAACATCTGGCAGGTCCCCTCGGACAATATGTGAAAGAAGCCCAACTTTGAAGTCTCTGAACACATGCACCCAAGCTCACATCTGCCTTGATGCAATAGTTGGCTTTGGACCTGACCCTGGAGAGGGGAAGGGTTGGAGTGATGAGAAAACACTGACGACTATCCTGTAATTCTAGGCAAGAAGGTTGCAGGACCCCACATGGTGGTCCAGAGGATGAGCAAGCAGAAGAGGAATCTTAGACCACTTATAGAGCAGTCACAGGGGCCATGAGTTCCTCCTCCAGCCTTGTACTTGCACAAGAACAGATAAATTAGCATGAGCAAAGTACATGGATCTATTTGAGCCACACACCAAATAATATCCACCTCAAAAAAAGTAAAACACAAAGCCTGGACTAAATCTCCTCGTATTTCTCTGCTCTCACCATGCAGATCCAAGTAAAGCAGAGACCCATAAGAGTCACCTCTGCTTTCCACATGTTCCGTGATTTGTCTGCATGCCCAGAGGGGTCATTCTAAGGACATAGCACAAGTTCCCAAGTGCTGTTGCATGACAGGGTAAGTCACAGTTCATTCCCAATGCCCTGCTCATCAGCTCAGATCGCCTGTGTCCCAGACAGAATGAGAAACAGGACATTATTGCAGCCACTCCGTGTTCCCTGCCATTGTCTACGGCCCCTGCGAGCACTGCCAGAACAAAACACAGACTGGGAGGAGTCAGCCAGGAGATCCAAGAGCTCAGTGAAACTCTTTGGAGTCAAAGCAGGGCTGCCAGCTCAGGCCCTGGGCCATGAGATTGCAGGACTGAGCAAGGCCAGAAACACAGGTTGAAAATATTTCCTATCTGCAATTCCTACATAGCAAAGTGAGGGTCCCCCAAGAGAAAGAACATGGGAAGGAGGAATGGGATGGTCTTGGTTTATCACCAGGGCAACCTGAAGCTACAGGATCCAAGCAGTGACCTTCAGGGAGGGATGGAACAGTCCTGAGCCAGGAGTTATGGAGCAACCACAGCTGGAAGGAGGCGGCGGCCAGATTGGCTCTTGTTTTATTGATTGTGTTTGCTAAAAAAAGTCAAGGTTATTTTTGACCTGACACTCAAAGCCATGTGGGCAGCATTCTAGAAGAGACAGAAAAAGACCTGAGCTTGTTCCCAGTGACATGCCCAGGTGTGAATTTGCTATGACTCAGCACTGGTGTATGGGGGGGGTCTCCCTATGGCAAACCCCCCTACCCCCAGTGACATAACACTAGACTAAATACAGCTCCACAACCTGTATTCCAGCCTCCCCAACAGAGCCCAAGAGCTTCCTGAGCCAGATATGCTTTAGTTCATTATTTAACATAGACATACCACACCCAAAGAGACAAGAAAAACAGCAGTGGAAAAACACATGCACACACATATATAGGATAATCCCCCAAACCAGCAGCTGCTTTATGTAGAGTGCAACGCAGGGAAATAACAATTAGGTGTACAGGTCAGCAAGGGTCTTTGAGTCCTTTAAAATACACAAACATCTCCCTCCTCAGAGATTTGCAGAAATGGCTTTTCCCCTCTTCTCTCTGAATTTTCAACTTAGCATGAGTTGTACCCTTGCTCCTAGAAGTGACAAATCAGTTTTGGTTTACAGACACCTCAAAGATACACCAGAAAAAATATTTTCTTTGATTCCCTGTTGCTTTAGAAAGAAGAGTGTAACTTTTCACTGGCTGGTTTAACCTGAACCCACTTAAAAAACAAAACAGAAATGCATCTCATTCTGAAAGCTCGAGGAGTCAAGCTGTGATTGCAAAATTGGCAGTGGTTACACAAGAAAGCAAACCAACCAAGTGGAGAAACTCCACCCCTGAAACTTAAGTCCCTCTCATGTCCTTCAGTATCTCAACTAGCTCCCCTTCTTTTCCTTCCCGGGTTTTGCTTGCCCTAGAAATCTTCTATCCTCCCACTTGCTGCCAAAGACTGAGACCTTCCCTCCTCCTCTGCCTTGGTTCATTAACCCGGCAGGAGCACGGGTGCCTGGTTCACACCAAAAACAGCTGTGACAGCTCCCAGCCCTGCCCTGGCCTCCTCAGGCAGGCGTTGAGGTATGAATTACAGTCAGTGGACTACAGTTTATTCCTCCCTGCACATCTCTAAGCACATATTCCTGTGGCATTCCTCAGCTATTACTAAGGCAAAGTGCTCTTTTGAAAGACCCAATAGCTTCAAGAGCATTACCATGCTTCACAAATCCTGAGGAACTCACCACATGCAGATCCACCTAGACTCATATCCAACTTCTAATCGAGACCATATGAGGTGCATCACTACCACAGATGATGTTGCTCACTTATTTTTTTAGGTGGAGAATGGAGGGTAGGGCATGTTTATTTAAATACTCTCTTCCTTCTCATACTTCTTGTATGTTAGAAGGGTCCTGCTGATCCAAGACCCCTTGCTTGCACTGCAGAGCTGGATTGTACCATGCCTTCTACAGACCAAGCAAATTCCACCTTGGGACTAACAAGGGCTTTGCCCTCCCAACTCAGACTGAAACCCTTCATCTCTCATTCCTTACCCAAATGTCCTCGCTTGCATTTTACATCCAATTTCTCTTGTGTCAAAACTGTCTTTGCTTAAGCAGCTCTTTTTCTTTCCTGGCACTTCTTCCTCCCTTCTTTTCAAGCAGGAGCCAGGCCCACCCAGCTATCATTTACAAGCTACACGATGCCAGGTCTTCTAAGGCAACGCATCTGTACCTGTGAAGTGCAAGGCAAATTGTCTCAAGTGCCCTGAAGAGACACTAACTCACGTCCCAGAAGTGATGCAGACATACTGCTCAGGCAGAGTCCTGGCAGCGAGGTTATTTTGCTTCTGATTTCACACCCAGCACAACTAATGCTCCCACTTGGTGATTAATGCAAGAAGAACCACTGTGATAGACACATAGAAAACAACTATTTGCATTATCAGCCTATTTAAATCCCTTTTCCTTGAGTGAGAGTGACCAGAAACACAGAGCAATCTCCAGGACGTCTCACTTGTGTAACAGCATGAGCAGATCCCCAGTCACACTGAAGAAACCATGAGTTGCAGCCTGAGATCACCCCGGCCTTCATCACAGCCCCATCAGCCTTGTGTTCACCCCATTATTAAGCCTTGCATCCAGCATTTCTATCCAGCAGGTAATTTCCAACAGAGGTGATTTCCTAGCCCATAGCAAAAGCCTTGTTACGCCCATATTTATATTCACCCCACTTGGCATTGCAGTGTCTCTTGGGTTTGTTACTGCAGCTCTTCCCATTGGGCATCCTCAACTGAATTTATGGCCCCACAACTCCAGCAGAAAAGCACATGAGCAATCCTGCCTTTTATGCCAGCATCCTCAATAAAAGAATGAGCCAACATCACCTCCAAGGAGCCTCAGCAGCTCTCATCTTTCAACACCTCCCACCACAACTTCACCTAGCACACCTGGGCCAGACAGTGTCTTCTGCAGAAAAACAAACCACTTGTGATGTAGTGCAGCATCACATTAACCTCTCATCACAAAGTCATCTCTTTGCTGAGGAAATCAGCTGGCTTTCCAAAGGAAAGCATAGGCTTAGTCTAACAAAAGTTAACCTTAGGACACCCTGCATCACATCTCATGTACCCACAGACATGCTTTATGACTTGTTGAAAGCCTTGCAGGCCACTGCAGGCAGACCAGTGGTCAATCCCCAGCTCTGTGCTGTGTCCCAGTGAAATGTGAAGCCCTGTTTGTCAGCTCACATCCCTCTCACAGATCCCATGTGGAGCTAGCAAGGCAGCCAGGTGTCTTTGCCCTGGCATCACACAGACAGAGATCAGCGACCTTGCTGACCACAAGGTCACCAGCTCACAGGGTTTAGGTATCAGCAGGTCTTGAGAAGGTCCAGGACCTTGCCCTGCTTGCAAGCCAACAAACCTGTGGGAACAGCAATTCCTTTCATTCCCAGAAGTGCCTGTGTCTGACAAAAAGATGACAGGCTGGTGTCATCTTCTTGAGATTGCACAGCTTCACATGCTCCCTTTCCAGCCCAGGGCCAAGGCAGCAAGGGAATATCCACTGGGATTCAAACACAGCCAGGCTCATTTCATCCCACATACACAAGGCAGAGGTGAAGAAACAGCCTCATGCCAATTTACTTGAGGCTACTTA